CACACACCCACCCACACATACGCATGCACGCACACGCACACACACACATTCCTTCTCCATTGCCTCCCTTCCGCCTGTTCGATTCCATCTTTCACCTTGTGCCCTCCATCCCCATCACGACTTTCCCCCCAGCAATCTGTTTTTCCCCATCCTCTTCTCTCCTTGTTCTGTGTCTGTAGCCTCTCTATTCTCTCCGCGCCTTTCTCTCCCCCGTTGGGATCCTTTTCGAGCGCCTGCTCCTCCAGTACTCGACGTGGACCCTGCGGATCTGGTTCGTCCATTCCTCTCTTCCTCTCGTCCGTCGCTCTTTCTCTCTTCATTGCTCTCTCCCCCTGTTGCCTTGGCGTTCTCTCTCCTGCACTTAATTGGTCCCTACATCCTCACTGTGAGTGGCCTTATATTCCGACCTTCTCCTCCTCTCTATCCCACATCCTGTTGGACACCCTTGCAATCCGCGCTGCCCATCCCCTTCTTCGCAAATGGTATCTCAACCTACATCCTCCTTCCATTCACTATAGGAGGAGCCTCCTCTACGTTATCCACCTGCAAAACCCTCCTTAACGTCGGCCATTCCCCTTGCATGTTTCACCCTATCGCCGTGAGTCTCCTCCTGTTTCCTTTGTCGTCGCATCCGACACTGACGGACGAAATCCTCACCCTCTCCTCCTCCTCATCCGGCGACCTCACCCTCCTCTTCGTCCTTCTCTTGTGTGTGTGTTTTTTTTTTTTTTTTTTTTTCGTCCTTCTCTTGTTACTAGAGTCTCTCAAGGTTTCGATGGCGACTTTCTCATGCCTGCATGACCAGGCACAGGCACTTGACCTCCCCCTAGTGTTCCTTCTTCCCCTGACTCTCCGCCTTCACGGCATCATCCCCGCATAGTCCTTCCGATAGCGGTCGTGCACAAATCCTGTCCCAGTTGCATAATAGCACCCACACAAAAAACGGAGTTGCCCTAAGGTAATGGACGGATGGAGGGAGAGAGGAGGGAAGGAGAGATATAGAGGGAAGGAAGGAGCGGGGGGAGCAGGGGTGGGGGGCCAGGGAGGAGAGAGAGAGAGAGAGAGAGAGAGAGAGAGAGAGAGAGAGAGAGAGAGAGGGACGGAAGGCAGGAGAGGAAGAGAGAAGGAGAGAGAGGTAGAGGGTACACGTCGCCACAACAGGCAAACCTACCCAGTTCACTTTTTGGCCGAGTGTAAACGGAACTCTCCACCTCTTCAGGGACAACATCTCCGACTCCGATAGAGAGATGAGGGAGGGAGGGAGGGAGGGAGGGAGGTCGCACTTCACCACGCCGAGCGAACTCACCTATTTCCGTTTGAGCCGAGTGTGAATACAATTGTCGGGATCTTCAGGCATCAGGCATAACACAGCGGCCACCGCAACGGCTGTTGGCGTGTTCAAACAGCCATCGGAGGAGGCGCAGGCGTGCCTAACTTGGGAGGGTTAGTGCATAGCCACAGCACTTTCGAAATATACAAAATGAGAATGAACTTCCCGCTAGAACATAGCCAAATGCACCCGCCAAATTTTCGACTGGTGTGGCGAGGCCCTGAGTTCGAAGCCAGGAGGCTTACCGTAGTTATTTTTTTTCTTTTTCTTTTTCTTTCTGGGAAACCGTAGTTATCTTTTGCTCGCAGCCCGTAAGGCTGCAAATATTGATAGCTTGGGCTTCAAGCCCTTGCAGACGATTTATTCGCCATCTCAGCTAACACAACAGAGTCCATGTCAGCCTTGCCATACTGCCTAAAACAAAATGAGGAACTCTCTGAGGTGGCTGTAAACTGGTCGAAATCGGTCGTTTTTTTCTCCATGAACGGTTCACTCCGGTAGTTCAGTGGGGAATGAAACGGGTCCCGCAGGCTGATTCGGAACGTTTTCTAGGTGTTCAAGTAGCCCTCTCGCTGGTCAAGAAGAAATCTTGCAGTCCAAAGTCACGGGGTAGAGCCCCGCATCTCTCGCTTCTTGGACGCTCCTTACAGTCTTCCCCCGAATACAACGTACGGTCATTATAGCTGAATTTGGGCTATATTTCAGTCTAAATTCAGCTATAATGACCGTACGTTGTATTCGGGGGAAGACTGTAGTGATTAACGCTGCGTTGTTCGCCCTACTGTGGTATGTGGGAAATGTCAGACCGTTGGGAAAAAAAACACTCTCAACGGGCAAACGGAAGGCGTCCAGACTTATCTGGCGCCCTTGAGGAGGGTGAGGAAGTAATGTCCAAAGTAGTGTGGGACTCCATCTGTGCGCCTAGGAAGGAAGGGGGTCTTGGCTTGACTGACCCAGGAAGAAGAAACACTGCGATGCTCGCCAGGTGGGTTGTTTGCGCAATCTGTCTGGACAATGATCAGCACTGGGTACTCCTAGCAGAAAGGATTCTGTCTAAGGAATGGAACCTATCCCGTAGTTCGGATGTCTGGTCTTGTGTATGGATAGACTCCTTTCTGAGGAGGAGGGTGAAGTCACAATTCAACCCGGTCCCGGCAGCCTCAGCCGGTTTCGCTTACAGCCATCAGGGCTGGAATCCCTGCAACACAGAATTTTACGCCAACGATCTCATTACTGAATATTTCACTTCTTTCTCACAGTGCTATTAGACTGCTGTTTTACTTCCAATCAGATCCTGACTTCTATCCTCACGACTGCTTGTCCAACTTCCTAGCTATATTTACTTACCTCTGCCCTACCACTAGCCTATCTACTGCTAACAACTCGTACCTATGACTACCTACACAGGCCTATACGGCCTGACACCGGCCTATACTGACCGGTTGGAACTACTGTTCCCCGTAACTGTGGTACTCTTCCACCCTCCACCCCTAGTTGACCTCCTGCGGTCAGCACTCCGAACCGAGATACCCTGGTTCGTAGACACGGTCACCCCCCACTAAACTACCTGGTCAACCACATGGAGACTACCAGACCCCGAGTGGTGTGAACTCCTGCCAGTTGGTTACCCTTGGCCCATGATCGCAGAAACCACCACAGTTGCTGCCTGGATGCTTTTCCGCGCTTGGCCTTTTTCCTCCAATCGGCCCAGAGGGCTCTTCTCAGGCCTCGCTTGATGGCTGTCTGAATCTCCCTGTCCGAATAAGGCCTGCTCTCAAATCTTGCCCGATTCCTATCTGCCCAGATCACCGAGCAGATGATTCCCCTCACTACCTGGGCTACATAAGGCCATCCCTTTGTGCCTGGGTGGTGCTCCTGCACAAACCCTAGCAGGACCCAGTGTTCATCCCACACAATGCCTTCTCCCCCCAATCTATACCAATGATCCTCCCACCATTTCCAAACTCTTTTGGACGCTGAGCAGTCCCACCAAAGGTGCCTGGTAGACTCAAATGGCCAGGAGCATCTGGAGCAGCACAGGGAGACCTCCATTCCTCTGCTGCACAACCAAACTGCTGACGGTGTAACCAGTAACGACAGCATCCAGAGGAGGCTTGACTGCTTTAATTCCGGTAAAACTTGAAGTACTTTCCACAGTTTCGAAAATTCCACTTCTTTCCCTTGTAAGTCTTCTAGCAAGATTGTGCTCCATCTGGATACTGCTACCCCTGCCGGTGATCTGGTCTTCCACTCCGCCAGCAGGTAGGACTGCTTAACAGAGTAATTGGATAAATTCATCCTCTGCATGTTGGGCTGCAGCCCACCATCTCCTCTCCACTCCCGCGCTCTAGGATCAATGGCTAGTTCTCTCAGGGGCCTTCTTCCCACCTACTCCGTAGATTCCAGGTTGCCCCTTCGATCAAACTTCTGAATCACTCTTGCCTGGGGAGGGTTAGCCCACTGCATTACTACCTCTTCCCCCACCAGAGTTAGCAGCGAAGACTGATCTGTTGTCTTCCATTGCTGAATCTCTTTTAAAACCGACGTTGTTCTGTTCTCTACCTTCCAGATCACTTGCTCCCCCATCTGCGGGTCTGGGGCGCGTTCCCAGTGGGTCCACCCCATCTGGGCCCAGCAACTCCTTCCAGCATGTGGCAGCGCCTGGATAAGAGTTCTTCAATGCGCTTCCGTGTTTCTTAGGCCTCGCAGTCGGGGGTAGATTTCAGAGAGGGGCCGCCAGTTATCATGGACTTCTGACCAGAGATCCGCTACCTTAGTCACCCCTCTTCTTATCCATGCTCTGCCGAATGTGGTTGGGATCGCTCCTGCACCAAATATGTTCCCTTCTTCGTCTCTGATCTCCGGATTCTCAAAGAGGCACTCTCCAATGCGCTTCCGTGTTTCTTAGGCCTCGGAGT